TGAGCTCCCCTGACTGCCTGGCTTCTTTTAGTGCCAGCTGTGAGGGAGAGAAAGAAAATGACTCTACTTGCCTTGAGGCAGAAGTTCCCAGCTGTGCAGTCAAATGGTCTGCCACTGAGCTATACCCCCTAAAGGAATTATGAGTGTAATCCTGCTGGGATTAGGAGCATAGTTCTGAAATCAGTTTCCTACCTTTTTTTTTTTTCTTGGCGGAATGGGGGTTTGAACTCAGGCCCTTGTGCCTGCCAGGCAAGCGCTTATTCTACTGAGCTGTCTCTCCAGCCCCCTGAGCTGTGACTTAGTGAAATTTCTCTGAGCTGCCATGGCCTCTGTGCCCAGCCACTGTGTTGCTCTGGCTGTGAACATTGGCTGTTTCATTTTTGCCAAGATTTTAAACAGACTTTATCTTGAGCCTAACAAATTTGCCATGCCAGCCAGGTGCATAGCCAATGCCAAGGCCACAGCGTACTGTAGCCATGGCCCTCCTACTTAGCTCCAGGCGCACAGGACCGTGGCTGGTGGTATGCACTAACTCGAATCCCTGCAGCTGGAGGGGCAAACAGGTGTGCCGGCAGCTGGGGAATCCCAGCTGGGTCTGCCTAGGACTGAGCTCAGGGGCCTCCCTGAGCTCAGTTTGTGCCCCTCCCTCCGGCGGCCAATTGCTTGCGATTTAAAATAACTTTTTCCTTTTTTATCTAATTGAGCAAAGTTAGAGAGTTTAAACTCTTATCCACTGTACCGTTGCTCCACCCTCCTTGTCCCATTTGAAACTTAATTTTAAAACAGTACACCACTCTGAATCCTTCGTGGTGGGCTTGGCAAGTAGCATACATACAGGAACCAAGAAAACAACAAGCATTTTTACATACATCTATAGACATCTATGAGCATGTGTGGTTCCTGAAGCTCTATTTATCTCGTTTTTGACTCAGTCTAACTTTTTCCCTTCTGGCTGTTTCTCTCCTTATGCTCCTTTATCTCTCTGGCCCTAGTGAACCCGTTCTTGGCCCTAGCGAGCCTCCATCCCCGAGCTTTACACCGAATGTGCCCGCACCAATGCACACCTGTGCTGAGCACTGGGGGCGCTAGCCAGTCCACCGCCCCCCTCCTGTGTGCTCTTTGGAAGTGTCCCCACTGCCCGTGCTTATCCCATACCAGGTATCCCGACTGGGCAACAAAGGTAGCAATCTGTGGTTCCATGGCGATCCATTCTACCCGGGAGAAATAGCCGCAGGAATGAGGACAAGACAGACGAGAAGACAAGAGCTGGGTCAGGTGGTGGCTCGTCTGCCTGGTTGGCGAGATCATTCCAGGAGCAACAGTATGAATGTTTGTTTATATCTTTGCAGAGTGAGTAACACTTGACACCTAGCGACTAGTAGCTGACATTAAGCAGCCCAGATGCTCATCTCAGGACTGAGGTAGTTTGTCTGCTTTGGGCACCGAGACCTAGTCCTGCCTACACACAACTGATCAATTCTGTAGCTTCCATGGCTCCCAGTACCACTTGGACATTTTCTATTTCCCAGTATCTATCATACATTTTGGTCCTTATTTACTCTTTCATTTTCTCACACTAGAGACACAGTGCAATAGTTAAACACCCATGCCTGATTTATTTTACTGAGGAGTATGGTCTCATGGTGCCTCCACTTAGGTAGAAGTATTTCAAGCTTATCCTTCTTTGTGACAGAGTAGTACTCCATTGTGTTAAAGAAAACTCCAAATCTTCTTTATCCTTTTACTGGTCAGTGGGCATTTGGACTGTTCTCAAGATTTAGTTATTACAAACTGTGCTGCTGTAAACATGGGTGTTATACTGTGGTATGATGCTTTTAATTATTTCAGGATGATACTCAGAATGGGAATTGCTGGGTTGAACTGAGCCTCTAGCTTTCATCTGCTGAGGAATCTCCACACTGAGTTCCACAGTGGTTGCCCCGGTCTGCACACCCACCAGCCATGGACAGGGATTCCTTTTTCCCCACAGCCCCACCAGTGTTTGTTATTGGTTGACTTCTTGATGAGAGCCCTTCTTTCCAGGGTGAGGTGGAACCTCAGTGTTGCTGTCATTGGCATCTTTGAATGAGTGATGATGTTCAACATTTTCTCTTGTATTTACTTTTGAGGACCATTTTTAGATTCAAAGCATCACATATAGGAATGGGAAGGAGGGTGAATTACTCACCTGAACCCACGAGGCCCACAGAATAGAGCACACTGCTCAAGTGCAGAGGGAAAAGAACTGTCAGCCTCTGGTCTGTGTCTGGCAGGATTCTTCACAAATGACAGGAAACAAAGATACTCACCTGTGAAGACAAACTGAAAGGAACTGTTTCCAGGAGGGCCGCCCTGCGAGAGTGGCTCACAGTCCTTCTTAAGGAGAAAGTGATAACAGAAAGAGACGCAGGACTTCAGAAAGGGAAGACACTCAGCGGATGGGTAGACATAGTGTCAGAGTGCACAGGATCCCTGCTTGAATTCATGATGAGCGCCTTCCCAATGAATTTCTTAAATCATAGTTGGATGCTGGAGAAAATCGTCATCCAACAGGACATTAAAGTACAGAGCGGAAGTCATTAGTTACTTTTCTTAAAGTAGAGAAGGCACAGAAGCTAAGTGGAGCTAAAGGCCTACGTGGGAAGTGGTAAAACTTCGCTGTCCTGGGGTCCCTGTAAGCTGTGCGTGCACGGGTATAAACTCATGTGCATGCTTGCACACGCAAGTGCTTGGAAAAGTGGTAAAATCCAAAAGAATTCTGGGTACCAGTGCTGATTTCTCAGAGCACTGATACAGTCCTGTAGCTACTGAGATACTTACGCTGGGTGCCGTGGATCTCCCTCCACTGCTTTCCCCTGTACTTTTTTTTTTTTTTTTTTTTTTTGAGTGAATTTGCAATTACTTGAAAATTAAAAGTTAAAAAAAAAAAAAACCATACTGGACAGCGTCTGTCCTAAATTGACAGAACTGTTTTGTTTTGGTAGCACAGTGCTAAAATTTCCCATATTCACAGACAACTTCCCTGAACGGCCACTTTCAAATGAAACATGAAATATGCTTTACAATCTTCTTTCAATCTTACCCATTTAATTAAAGGGAACTTCACGGTACTACAAATGCATATGTAGCAGCACTTATTATAAAATAGACTTAGTCTAAAATTAATATAAAGGCAACAAGACAACGTTATTAAATTCTGAGTAGGCACTGTTGTTTCCATGTTCATCTTTATTAACTAATGGAGACTGCCAAGTGTCGGCACACTCTGCCTCCTTACAGAGCTCGTCCCTGGGATGCAGGCTGAAAGACTGAGACATAGAAAGGAGGTGCCTTTCCCGGGTGCCCTGCAGTATTTTTTAATGCTGTCTCCTCCACCACCTGAAGTTAACTGTCTTAACTGCACATCTTAATGCCGCAAAGGAGTTTGCTCCTGGCTTTAGGCAACACATTTTGTTACAGTGCTGCTGAGACATTTGTGTACAATTTTCTGCTCCGAAAGGGAGGTGGAATGCAAAACGGGAAGGAAGACAGGTTTCAGAAGGTGCATGGAGCCACACACACATCTGTAGTGGCAGCTGTTGGGACCACACAGTCGCAGTGGACCTTAGAATGCGCGGGAACACACACAGAGGGCGGTCTTCCAGGAGCCTTCGCACCTGTCTTAATTGCTTTCTTATTGCCGAGACAAAATACTTGACACCCACAAGTTAAAGGGTGAGTGTATTTTGGCTCACAGTTTGTGGAGTTCAGGCCAAATCCATCTCTTTCCAAGACAGGGTGACATGGCAGAGGGGCTGGCAGAGGAGAATGGT